TTTCCCTAACCTGAGCAGGTTAAACTTCCTGTGGAAGGTAATAATTTTGCAACCCTCCCTCCAAAGTCTCCTTCTCATGGTGGCACAGGCGACGAGGATAGTTTTGGTACTCGTAAAGCCAGATCTTCGTTTGGACGAGGCTTTTTCAAGATCAAAAATAACAAGAGGACCGCAAGTGCCCCCAACCTGGGTAGGTATCGTGCACCTGCATGCAGATTCTGTGTATTTTGAAAGGTCTTAACAACGTCTGTAACTGTCTTAAGAAGCAGGAAGGCCAGCCCTAGTCTCAGTGTGACTTGGTGGCACTTTTCTCAGTAGAATGTTTGGAAAATATCAAACAGCAACGACAACAACAAAAACAAACAGAAAAAAACCCTCACTGATGTAATAAAGTATTAGATGTTTCAGCCTCTGCTGTGATATCTCCCCTGGGACCTTGTAGTAGGTTGAAGCTGTTTTGAAATGCTAGCTGTCTGGCAGTAGTTCACACATGGGATTTGTGGTTGTTTTTTTTTTTTACTTTTTTCCCCTGGCTTCCATCCTCAGTGTATCTTTCAGAAGATTTTCAGATGTACAGAAATGAGGCAGTAGCACTCAGTCTTCCTCTTTATTTTATGTGTATTTAAGCAGCCTTGCAAAAGAGATGGTGGCAACAGGATCAGGATTGACAAGTTATTCAAGCTCATGTTGATTTTTGGACCTGTAATGGATGGGAGTTGTTTTGGTATTGTTTTTTGATGGTATTTGCACATGATGAAGAAATAAAAAAAATATTCTGCTTAATGCAGAAGTCCCTGTTGCCACCATCTGAAATCCTATTTGCATTCACTGCTGTGCTACAATAGTCTTTCCACTGTTCCAGTTCAAGCATCAAGTGAGTCTGTGCATCAGATCTACTGCCATTCATCTCAAGTTTTTGGCTTTCTCTTGCACGAGATTTAGGAATTTAGTTCTAGCTTTCAGAAGCCTAAATGGGAATAGCTTCTGCTTTGTTGAGCACAAGTCTCCTGTTCTTACTTACCTAAAGACAATTTTAGACTTTTATTCAAAAGAAGTAACATACTTAAACATTTGTTGTACATTGCCCATATTTAGCTGTGACATATAGCATGGGAACTTGCTAGCTCACTTGGAATAGATGTGCAGTCTGTTCTGAGGATTAGACTCTTTGCTTTGGTTTATTTCGTGTGTGCTTTTGTGTAATCACCTGTTCCATCTTGAAACTAAATTGTCTAACAAAACGGAGTACTTATGGCTGTCGTAAAGGATTGGAAGATGGGCCATCTAGATCAGGGTCCTGTGAATTTGAGTGAGTTATTTATGTTACCCAGATTTCAGTGCTTCCATCTGTAAAGTTGGCGTACAGTTGCTTGCCACCTCGCGGGAGCCCAAATGAGTCACCTGCCCAGTGTGTCATGGAGCGAGTGACCTCCCTGCTCCGAAGTGACTGCCGTGCTGTTTTACCCTTTCCACCATAGAGCTCTACTGCATTCCCTTTTTTGTGAGGGGGGGGATTAACAGTGAATTGGTAATCCTAATCTCTGTGTGAATTCAGCATTGCGTGTGGCGCATGCGTCCTATGTACCTCCCTCCGTTTGTCTTGTATTTTGCTGACGTAAGTTTTGAACTGTGTTGTCTTACCTTGTCCCTCTGCGTGTTCTCTCCCGTTGTGCTGCGTGTGGTTATGTGCGTTGTTGGGATATCTGAAGATCGCAGTCGAAGTGCAAGTGCACCTACTTTAGGTATAGTAATCCTGCATGTCTGCCTGTACCAGCGCTGTGTTGTGACTGCTGCTAACAGCTGGTTATGGCCACACACTTTTCAAACCAGAACTAGAGACCAGACCTCTGCATTGAAACCTTTGTCCATCACTAAAAGGAGTTTTCATGTAACATCTGCCCTCTGCTAAAAGTCAGCTGCACCATTTCTCAGTTACTGCTACTAATGAGAGAGATTGCGGGTTAATTTGCAGAGACTTTTGCTGTAACTTTGAGCACAAAGTTACCCACAGACCGAGGTAGCAGGTAAGGATTGGTGATGTTTAAATACCGGAGGCACCTTTGTGCTGTCGTCTGACTTGGAGCCCCTGGAAGAGCTTAAAGGGTGGTGAAGTAGAGAATGAGGTGTATTTCCCAGGTGTTCACTTAGGGGAGTTCTCTGGGGAAGGATACATAATTCCTCTTCTAAGATGTAGTTATATTTTTTTATTTAATAAACAAATGAGAACTATTTGGGGCAGATGGAGATGGAGCCATTCACATCGTAAAAACCAGTCTTGTGATGTGAGCATTCGCTGGGTAGTTCTGGCAAGGGCAGGTAAGACCTGCAGGGTCCTGCCTTAGCAAGCAGAGCTGTGTCAATCAGGGTGGTTGTACAGCCACCCGATGTGCCCCTCACTGAAGAAAAGACCAAGTGCTCTGGGCCATCTCAGTATCCCATGTGGCCTCTTGAATGTCAGCTGTTCTACGGGATTGTGTCAGTACATGAAGGGGAGCAAGGTACAAGGAGCAAAAATTGCAATGCCCGCAAATCTCTGCTACTAATGCACACAACCTTGTCCTGGTATTCTATCTCTGGAATGCTGTTTAAATGTGTTTTTTCTAAGCTAGCACGTTTTCTTATACAAGTAAAGCAAAACCCAGAAATGCAAAAGCCTGCTTCGACGTTAGTGCTGTCTTTCACTGGCAGGATCCCCATGTTCGATAGCGGTCAAACTAAAGTGCCTAGAAATAATCTTCTATGTGACCTTGTTGCTTCACTGCAAGGTTTAACATCTAAAGCACCAGTGGAAAATGGGACATGTTCAAATGTATTCTGTCTGAATCGTCTAAACTTTGCCCAGCAGAAAGATACTCTGGTGAAGCCTGCAATTCGTTGCTGTTTGTGTCACGTTGTGGCCACCTCAGTGTGAACTGTGTGGCTTGAGACCACATGTCCCAGCAATACATGCTCTGCCTTGACTCACGTAACTTGTTTGGTTTTCTCCTGGAAGTCTGAGAGCCCATTTCAAAACCAAATGATGGTTGTCTAATTACATAGCCATGGTAAAAGTGGTTACAGGCCTGACTGTCAGCCCACTGCAGGCTGCCTTGCCACTGCTGCTTCATCTGAACAGGCTCGTGCTGTCACTGTTCCCCAGCAAGTAAGTGGCATAAGCTACACGTGGTACTTTGATTCAGCTATCTGGCACTTGCTGGCACAGCTCTGCTTACGTAGCCTAGTAGATATTGCAATTCTTTTAATTTTGCTTTAAAATTGTCTTAAAGTAGTTTTCTTCTTTGTTAGTTTAGCTTTTGTGGCAACTTTCCTTTCGGAGGCAGGAGCCCTTGGGTTTGTTGTCATAGAAAACAACAGCTACAGATCAAAGATTTAATGCTTTTAGAGTGGGTGCTAATGTGTAGGGTCTCTAATCAGAGATGCTTTGTGCATCACTCAGAAGATCTAGTCCCAACAGAGCCTAAACTCCATGGTGTTTCTTTGCAGAGGAACAAAATACTCCAAAATTTGCAGAAGGGAGGGGAAAAGGGCCCTCGTGCTCCTGGGGCACGTGTTGTTTGTTGCTGGAATTTCCTGGATGGGGAACTTGTGGAATGCTGCAGGTTGTTAGGAAAGATGCCTGCAGGGAAATTATTTATCTTTCTATGCTTTGGGGACTCTTGGTTTGGTTCCCTGCCACAACACTGAATTGGGCATTCATGTGCTTCAGCTCTGTCTGTGAAAGGACTGTAGGAAGAGTAAACTTGGGATTTAATTAACTGATGGATTCACAAGATGTTTTTTGCTCACCTTGGATGCAAGGCACTTAACCAGTGCAGAGCATTGCCTCGGGGTGTTCCTAGTCAGGCCCATGAAGGAGGAACACGCATTGTTTCTTCTGGATTTCCCCATCCTTCTTTGCCCCTTTTTCTTAACATGGTGGCTCTCAATCATTTTAGCAAGAGTTGTTCCCAAGTTCAGGAGTGTGTCTGTACAGTCTTGGCGCAAGTGGGTCTTGATGGGGCTTTTGTTTTCCAATAGCTGAAACGGAGAAGGGATCTGCAGATCATTTGGATCTGGCTGGCTTGCCCCCTCGCCCAAAAGAAACAGACAGTCTACAGATGACACCTCCTTCTCCAGATTCCAAGAAAAAGGCCAGGGGGATCAAGAAGTTATTTGGAAGGTAAGTGAAATATGAGAAATTACTGTTCTCCAGAGCTGGGGCTTGCACAGGGGTTTGCTGGCAAACACATCTTCCCTTTTTCCCCTCCAGTATGTGGCTCCATGGTTTACTGTCTCAAGAGCAGGAGCCAGTGCGGCATTTGAGAGGGCTAACAGTAGGTCAGTGGCAGGTAGAAGAAGAGCTACAAACCCTGTAGGAGGTCTTGCCTGTATTGGTTACAGTAGTAGCAGCAGGCCTTTTCCTTAGCCAAATGTGAATATGCTTTCTTCCTTTAAACTAGACTTAAAAGAAGTCAGTCTACCACCTTCAACCCAGATGACATGTCCGAGACGGAGTTCAAAAGAGGAGGAACAAGAGCAACTGCGGGGCCACGACTGGGCTGGTCTCGAGACCTGGGACAGTCTCACAAGTAAGACGAGTGGTGCGAAGTGCGCTGGTGCTTGCCTCTCCGGCAGTTCCCGTCGAGCACGGGATCCAAAGGAGAAGCGCAGTGCCAAAACAAGATGTCCCCTCTCCCGGCAAATGGAAACAGATGGCTCCAGGCCAGTTCCTCCTTTGAGAGGTGGTCTTTGCAGGGTTGAGGTCGGGTGGGTGGTGGGGTCGTGCTGCCGAGCAGAGCCTTCCTTGCGCACAGCTTCATGGGAGTGCAGGTGTGAGGCCATGTGAAGCAGGGCGTCAGCCCTCACGTGCCGATGACAGATATTCCGCCGGTACGTTTCTTGCTGCACTTCTGGGGATTAAAGGCTAAAGTGGAGCACTATGGTCTCACTTCAGAGTTTTAGCCAGACTAGGCAGCAGAGGTGGCTGTTCCAGTAGTATCAATAGACCGTGTTTATTGTGATAGTGGCAGGAGATCAGCAGTGATGAGCACTTCATGGTGCTAATGGTTCCGAAGCAGAGACGCCCTCGTTCACGCAAGGCTCACCTAACAGCCAACTGTGATGCACGTTCTCCCCTGGAGAACATCCCCAGTCCCACAAAAATACTCATGAATTAGGCTTAGGTTTTTGTTTTAGCATTGTGTATGAGAATAGGAGATTTGAGGCACAGGATTTATCAGTCTTTTTTTTTGTAAAATCTTCTGTAGTGAGCTGGACATGCCGTTCGCAAAATGGACAAAGGAGCAGGTTTGCAACTGGCTCCAGGACCAAGGGCTAGGCTCTTACATTAGTAATGGCAAACACTGGATACTGTCTGGGCAAACACTTCTGCAGGCTTCTCAGCCGGATCTGGAAAAGGTGAGAAATACTGGAAACACTGCTTTCTAGTATTAAATATACAAAAAATTGCTATTTCTGGGCATATAAATCATGTCTGTAAGGTGCATTCAGTAAAAAAAAAAAAAATACATATTTTTAAAATTTGCAGTGATGCCAAATCTATTTCTTTTTAGTTGAAGTTTTGTAGAAAGTAATGCTCTGTACTGAAACTAATCATTACAAATACGTGATTTAACTTCATTAAGCTTCATAAAGCTATGCTGCTTTAAAAGCAGCACACGAGTGCCTCATTATCACACAGGTTTGTAGATTCATTAGCATTTGTGTATGGAACAGTTACTTTATGCCTGTGTGAGAAAGGTGTGAAAAGCTGCTGGCTTGGTCCGACTATATTTTCTGCTCATTGTACACAAACTGGAATGAGGATTTGTTACACACAGGGGTGATCAGGTTTTTTTTTGTCATAAATCCTAATAGAATTGTTTACATCTTGTTTTCTAAAACTAGAAACATTAAAAAAGTTGATTCAATCGATACTTTGAATCCACAGTATTTGCTAATGTTTGCGTTTTTAGCTTTTAAAGATCACTATCCTCACCAAGTAGTAACCCTGTTTTCTTGACGAGGGAGTGAGCTAATTCAGAGTTGTAGTTATATTATAACTGGAATAAGAGAAGTGTGGTATGGGCATAGTGGGTTGTAGTACTGTTATCAGAGATAACATTAGCTAGCCAGCACTGGTGAAAGTGTATATGGGATTGAGTTGATCCTGGAATGGTTGCACTTGCAGCTAAGCTGAGGAAGGTGTTATGCATTTGGAAGTATTAATAAATTTCAGTAATTCCTGGGACCTTCATGTGATCTTCACTAAATAATTCTTTTAACTTTACCTGCCTAAGTGGGAGGGAGGGAAGTAATCCCATCAAATATTTTTCTGAATGCTAACCTGTTTTATATTGTGGTGGGTTTTTTTTTCACCTGGTATGAGAATATTGTGGCTAACATTTTCATACAGTTTGGAATCCACCACACTTTGAAATTAATCAACCACAGTGAGTGGGCCTTTCCCTAGTGCTGAGCATGTCCTAAAATTATGCTGATGTTCACCTGCCAGGTCACCAGCATGTGACACTGTGACAGTGTGACTCTCTGAAATCATTTGTAATTCAGCAGAGGGAGAAATAAAATACAACATTGTCTCTAGGTTTGCTGCTTTCCTTCCTTTCACAGGAGCTTGGGATAAAGCACCCATTGCATCGGAAGAAGCTTCAGCTTGCTCTGCAGGCACTTGGGTCTGAAGAGGAAAACAATCATGGAAAATTGGATTACCACTGGGTTACCAGTAAGATTTTATTGCATGCTGAAGCAGCAACTTTTTATAGAGGTTCCTGATCACGACTAATTCGGGCCTCAGAGGGTGAGACTGACACTGGCTGGTGTTATGTAACTTGGCTGCTCAACTAACATGGGTGTCTGTCTCTGCCTTAGGGTGGCTGGATGACATTGGCCTCCCCCAGTATAAGACCCAGTTTGATGAAGGAAAGGTGGACGGCCGAATGCTCCATTACATGAGCGTGGTGCGTAAATGGCTTTTCTTTTCGTGAGATCTTTTTCATGTTCTTAGTTTCTCCCCACTTTAATGCACACTGGCGTACCTCCAGATAATTGACTAAAGACCAGGCGAAACTGGAGACACCCGCATTCACTGTGCCTATCGTTGTGACTGCATAGACATTAAATTCACTTAACACCCTCCAGCCTCTCCATCCCAGCCTCCATCTTCCTTCTACTCCCTTTTGGGTCAATTGGCCAGCACCAGCAACATTTTTTGCACCCCACAGCACAAGCAGCTGTGCCCTGCCATGCACCTCTGCAAACAACCTTCTCCCTGTCCTGCATTCTCTTCCTCTCAGCCATCCCTAAGACTTTCCTGGCAGCAGCTCTGGCCCCAAACGCACCCTCCTGCCAGCTGGC